TGCTAATCTGAGGGTGCGGGTTTATCCATTTTACCCCATTACTGGGGTCTGCGTCGGCTCGGACTAACAGCTGAGATGATCGGATTGTCAGAGGAGCAACTAGCAACTTATATTTACAAAAATACAAGTTGAAGTCCAACTAGAAGTGTTCAAGTGATTCATCCTTGCATTCCACCATGCTGGTGACTAGTGCTTAACTGGTTTGCATTGATGAAAGAAAAGAAGACCAGTATCCAGACACGTACAGGGCACAAATTTAACCATGGCACTGATGGCAGGTGCCATGGTTCCCCTTTTTGCTGCGGTACCTTTGAAAATTGGATGATATCCACAGCAATAAACTGTCGTAGCCGCTTTACCTGGTTTGCCTCCAATCCATGCCATTCTCGTAAATTCTATGTTGTGTATAATTTTTTTTGTCAAAAGTGACTTGCTTTGATCACTCCTCTTTGAACTTGAAGGGAAGGCTTTCCCTGGTGGCTATCTAACCTGCTACAATGACTTACAAGTTTTGCTCAAAGTTAACGCTGTGGCTCCTCAAATGTACACATCTCGCGGAGGGAAGGGAAGGGAGGCTACTAAAATCACTATAACCGCTGCTAAATGTACTGTTTAAACTAGTTTTATTACTTGTATTCAATAATAGCATAACAAAAAACGTGTTGATAGTTTTCTGTTAAAAAAACAAACAAATTTACTTGGCAGCAGCACCACCGCCGTAGGAACTAGCGTGCTGTGTGCGAGGGAAGCTCCCTGTTCTGTTGATTGGCCCATCCTGTTGTTTAGCCACGGAACATTGGCGACCGGATACCGGTCGAGGAGCCACAGCCTAAAATGAATGCACAACTTGTCTTTTCCTAAAACAGTATAATTTGACCCTTGTATGTGCTGAGGTTATTTTAGTTTCCGTAACATTAGTTAATGATGAGTTCATTGTCAATGCATCTGATGATTGCAACTGGAAATTACATGTATATTAGATGTAGTCAAGCCTGCAGCATGCAAACTTATTGCCATTTTATCTAATGTATAGATGTATGTTTGAAATTTTCTTGCTGTCTAATGTATTATATATATATACATATATAGATGATAAAACCTGTGACTTGCCAGATTGGTAAATGTTTGTTTTCATTCTGTGACACTGACATGCGAGAGTCTGTGAGTTGACAGAGCAACAGAGAGGTGATGTCAGATAACAAGTGCAAGAGTCATCTTAACATGGTTATCTTTAAATTTCTCCCAAAATCACAACCACGTTAAGGTTTAAGTGCTGCAGGTTTTTGCTCCACGTTTCGAGAGTTAAAGTTAAATGTCATCGTAACTTGCACTTGTCCTTTAAAGCAATACCTTCACCTCTGTTGTTGTTTGTCGTTGCAGACTTTCGCATGTGAGTGAGGTAAAATACCGTGAGCTTATCATCACGTTAGCGCAGGCCTCTGCAGTCAATGAGTGGGAAACGCGGCAGGTATCAGTTAGTCAATGGAAGCCAGATGCCAACCAAGCAGGAGTTCAGCCCTGTTGGATTCTACAAAAAGTCGGGTTACTTGAGTCCTCTGGAGCGGGCATGCCTCAATATTCCAAAAGGTGTTCCATCGCAACACAAGCAGCAGCCAGTGCCTCCCCGAGCTCGCCGGAAGCTAAGCTGTACCAGGTTGAAAAAAGTGAGGGAAGTGTGCATCCCTGCCATCACCAGAAACAAGGTGATGGATAGTCAGCCAGCACAGTTACCAAGGAAAGCAACCTCTCCTAGGAAAGCAACCTCCCCTAGGAAAGCAACCTCCCCTAGGAAAGCAACCTCCCCTAGGAAAACAACCTCCCCTAGGAAAGCAACCTCTCCTATGAAAGAAAGCTCTCCTAGGAAAGCAACCTCCCCTAGGAAAACAACCTCCCCTAGGAAAGCAACCTCTCCTAGGAAAGCAACCTCCCCTAGGAAAACAACCTCCCCTAGGAAAACAACCTCCCCTAGGAAAGCAACCTCTCCTAGGAAAGCAACCTCTCCTAAGAAAGAAAGCTCTAGGAAAACAACTTCTCCTGGAAAAGAGACTTCCCCTAAAAAAGAAACTTCCCCCGAGAAAGTAACCTCTCCTAGTAAAGCAACCTCCCCTAGGAAGCCACCTGCTCGTAATACAATCTCCCCTGAGAAGTCAACCTTCCCTAGGAAAACAACATCTCCAAGAAAAGGAACTTCTACTAGGAATGAAGCCTCTCCCGAGAAAGCTGGTGGCGAAGCAGCCTCTAAGAATGAAGCCAGTTCTGCACCGGTGACCTCTGCACTTGAAACACCTACCCTTACGCCTTCCAGCCAGAAAAAATTCTTTAAACATAAGCAACGTACTTCTCCTAGGAAAGGTTCTCCAAGTAAAGGGTCTCCCCGGAGGCGTGCTGTTGATAGATATGTGGAACAACAGTTGAAATCTGTTAAGGGGAAATCAGGTAGCCGGCTGTTATCGTTGCCATCCCGAGTAAAGGCGAATAAGGGTAGGCGTGATACGGCAGCAGCTAGTCTACTCAATAATGTCAGGCGATCACCCCGAAAGCTCGACAGCCCAGCCGCTGGTGACTCGGCGAGACGAAGCGAGCCTGAGATGCCTACACCTGCAGCGGTCGTCGATAACCATGACTCGAGCGATCGAGGCGACGAGATCGCGGGGAGGCGGTCGCCGAGGAAACGCGGCGCCGCAGCCGGCGACGACTCCGAACCCGACGCGAAGAGGACACGGAAAAAGCTGTCTTACATCGACGCCAGCGATCCGCCGACCCCGGGTCGCGGCAAGGACGGCGACGTCTGCAAGAGGGTCGAGGTCAAGCTGTTCCCGGTGTTCACCGGCGAGACGCCGCCGCGCCGCACCGGCCGCATCTCGCTCACCGCGTCGCCAGCGTCGTCCGCCGGCTCCCCGTCGTCGATCGCGCTCGCCAGCAGGTCGCGCCGCCGTCACCGCGACGGCAACGACGGCCGGGAGCAGCTGGTGATCGACGCCGGGCAGCGGCGGTTCGGCGCGACGCAGTGTGATGCCTGCGCGATGGTGTACACGCACGGCGAGGACGAGGACGAGGCCGCGCACACGCGCTTCCACGAGCGCCACCAGGCGGCGCTGCGCTTCGGCGGCTGGAAGCGCGAGCGCGTCGTGCGCGAGTACCCCGACGGTCGCGTCGTCATGGTGCTGCCCGACGACCCAGCGTACTGCCAGCGCAAGGTCGACGATGTGCGCCACCTTGTGGACGCCGACCTCGGCTTCGTCGACGTGAACGGCGGCGCCCTCTCGTCGCGACGTACGCTGCTCTTCGTCGCCGAGCGGCGCGTCATTGGCTGCTGCGTCGTCGAGGAGACGCATCGCGGTTACCGGGCGCTCAGCAGTGCGCGGCCGCGCGGCGCGGCGGGCTCGCCTGACGACTCTGCGCAGCGCGTCTGGTTCTGCAGTGCGAAGCCCGAGCCGGCGCGCTGCGGCGTGTCGCGCATCTGGGTGCACTTGTCGTCGCGGCGACGCGGCATCGCGACGCGTCTGCTCGACTGCGTGTGTGAGAGCTTTGCGTTCGGCTGCACCCTGCGCCGAGAGGAGCTCGCTTTCTCCGACCCGACACCGGACGGGCGAGAGTTTGCGACCCGCTACATGGGCACGCCGCACTTCCTAGTGTACAAGTACCAGTGAGTTTGTGTAGGGCTGCGCTGGCAAGCCGCACTCGCTCGTGTACTACTACAAGTACCGCTGAGTAGAATGCAAACTTCACCTGTCAAAAGACAGATTTAGAGAGAAAAAAAAGTCATTGAATAGTATCATTTTTTAGTCCTCTGTGTGATGTTCATGGTTTATTACTTCATTGTTTGTTTCCAGGTTTCTGTAGATAACTACAGTATTATCGAGTGATGTATCCTCACGGACCCTTAGTGGATAATAAAGTTTGCTATCTTGCGTTATTAAATCGAAATAATATTCCCTGGTATACTCTCACATTTATTGTATAAACAACAATATGTAATTAGCGAAGAATCTAGTGATATAGATGTTAGATGATGTAGGATACCATTCAAGTTGTTTATTCGTCTTACCATTATTGAAAATGGTAAGTGTTAGTATATAGTATTTTGTATTTTTTTTTCAGTAAAAGACAGATATAAGACCAGAAATGTTTTATAGTTTTGAATAGTGGTGAAATGGGACCACAACTGTATTTGCTATGAAGACTAATATTAGATTGAGTGTTTTGTCTTATGTTTGCACTATCAGTATGTTGAAATTTTATAATAAGCTATAGAAAATAAAAGTATTTGTATTACTAATATGTGTTGTGCACTCTTTATTGCTGACAATTTGCAGAAATAAAATTGCTTGAATGTTGCAATATACATATTTTGCATATATACATACCCTACAACCTTCCGTACCTCTTTTCCTTATATCTCTGCATCACCACACCCCTACAGCCTTTCTCTTTGGTATTCTGAGTTTGTGATACAGTGTCAGTGTTTGTGATATCCATTTTCGAAATAATGACTTAAAATTAATCGTTTAAATATCTTTTGAAATGAAGCCGATTAAGAGGTTTTTCATGCTACTGACATGGTTGCACTTGCACGTGTTGGCAGGAGTGTGAAAGCGCCACGTTGCCATGGCTGTATCTTCAGCTATCTCAGAACCACAGTATCTAGAATACCTGGAGAATGCATCCAGTTTCAACACAAGGCTATGCATAGAGCGACGACTGAGACTGCCCTATCTGGATTCTCAAACAGGTAATTCACAATGACCAATCATTACTTGGTTGCATCAAGAATTGCGAGAAAAAAATATCTGTTCGACAATAGGTTCAGCAGTTGGGCTGACTTGCTCCAGATCACAGATTTTAGCCTGTTTTGAACAGCAGATGTTAATGAAGGTGGGGGAAAATGTTCCCAGTTGCACAGGAAAATAGTAGTGTTTTGCAATGGCTCCAGTGCACAAGTAAAATCTGGTGGACGTGCATAAAAAACCCCATTCCCACATTCTCTAGATCACGCTTATAAGTGTGCTGCACATTTAGTATTATAGTTTGGAAATTAAAAATTTTTTTTCTGACTGTTGTTAACAATAGCGCATTCACACGGACGTTTTTGGCACCGAGCTAATAGGCTCGCGCCAGATTTGGCTCGAGCGAGTGTTCAACACTGACGTTTATGGCCCGCGAGCCAGATTTGTCCTACATCGAAAACATCGTACCAGGCTCGAGCCAAATTTTAGCAGCCACTTTCGTGAGCGGTACAATCGGTTGAGGCGATAGATGCCGCGCAGTGTCGCGAACGCTGTTATCTTTGACGAATAAAGTCAAAACACGTATACAAAATTTCGAAAATTCGATCCAGATGCTCACGTTTTCAGATTGATAATTGAACTCGGACGAATAAACCACTCTGAATGGTACACAACAGCCATCCTCGCGACATACTGCCAAAAGTATCTGTGAATATCTTGTGCAATAAAATTTTATTTGAATTTGAATTTTGAATGTTGACAGACAAGTATTCGGCATTGCGTACACCGTTGAACACTCCGACCACACGGCGACTGAGCCAAAGTCTAGCCCATTTCGGCTCTTAGCTCAAAACCATGACCCGTGTGAACGGCGACTAATGTAAGCTCGTAAGCGTGCATTGCAGCCATAATTCGTTAGGTTGACACGAACGCCGGCTCTCTGGTCTGAATATGTCATAAGTGCAATGTGCAAGCGTACGATGTGGCCAAATCTGTGCAATTTGTTTAGGCGTATGCACGCAAAAAAAACTCTCCCTCTGGATGCAGAAAGCGCATCGCGAACCCAGGCAACACCAAGGCAGGCTGTATTACGTAATCCCAGCCAACAGAGGGTTCGCAAAGAACGGTTCTTCTCACACCTTCCATGCAGTAATAGAATCTATGAAGTCGCAGACAATGACTTGTCACGATATCCGGTTTGGTGCAAATTGCAATTGTTGTCAAGGAACGATCATCTGTTCTAATTAAATAGCTGTGAAAAATCAGTAAAGTTTACTGTTAAACATCATTTTCAAGCAAGTTAAACTGTGGACTTATCAATCTTATACCTTGATCTACTTCCAGGCTGTTATAGATAGCATCATTTTCAAGGTTTAATTTATAATTAATTAGCTATACTTCAATGTTTTATTTCAGCTACATTGTGAGGAATACGAAAACCCAAAGCGCATGATGGATTATGTTTATATTGGGCCGTTTGTATTATTTCTAGCAATTATTCGATAACTTGAACTTCCCGTTGTGCCACATGTAATTTTCTAACATTTCATTTCATGGCAAATACTAAATATTCTGGATCTGAAAAGATGACAAATATAATCAAGACTAATGATACATATTGTCATTAATGAAGCGATGGATGATATGATTTATATTGCCCCCGCTTTTCATCTCATCTTAAAAAAAAGTGATCAGCCATACCAATCGTAAAGTACATAAGTCAACTTTGAGTTACGAGTTTGATTGGTCTGGCAGGTAAAGTCACTTGTAACTCAAAATGTGTCGCCGTGTGTTCGCCATCGCCGCGTGTTTGCCATCGCCGCGTGTTCGCCGTCGCCGCGTGTTCTCTGTCGCCCTGTGTTCACCGTCGCCCTGTGTTCACTGCCGCGTTCATCACGTCGCCGCCGTATTCGCCGTCGCCCGTGTGACCCGTCATCTGTGTGTTCATCGTCGCGCCGCCGGCCGCCCGCCGCGGGCTGCCGAGGCCCCCGCCCGCGCGCCGCCCCCCCGCCGCGCGGCGCTGGCGCCCCGCCGCGCCGCGCGGCGGCTCGGCGTGTGCCCCGCGGCGGCGGGCCCGCCTGGCCGGGCCGCGCCCGCGTCCTCCGGCGCGGGCGCGCCCGCCCGCGTCCGCGGGCCGCCCGCCGGCCGCGCGGCGCGCGGCGCCCGCCGCGGCCCCGGGCCGCTCCGCGGTGTGTCTCCGTCGCTCTGTGTTTTCCCAGTCGCGCATGTTCCCCTCCGCCGTGTTTCCATCGTCCGAGTGTTGTTCGCCGTCGCAGCGCAGTTCCCAGTCGCGCGCGTTCAACCGTCGTGCGTTCACCGAACGTTCCCTCCGCAGAAACGAGCACCAGATCACGACGGAGAACACTGCGCTGAGTCAGCAGCGACGACGTGGCGCCCTCTCTGCTGTCGCCGAGTGAGACACAAAGACTGTGTACAAGGACCTACGACGAGCTGAGCGACCTCGCCGGACCGAACTCACGGCTAGATCGAGACGTCGACTCGACAATACCAAGGACCTACTGCGCGCGCCGCCTCCGCAAGAAGAAGGTAGCGACGCGAACACGAAACGCGTCTTGCGTGGCAGGGAGTGGGGTACGCGCCGGGGGTGTGTAAGTGTGGGCGATTGACTGCGTGCGTGGCCTTGCGGCTGTGGGCGTGATGACTTAGACTAGGATGTGTGGGTGCGGTAGCTGTACCTTGTGCGTGCGTTGTGATAGCTGTGTTGTTGTTGTTTTTGGGTTATGTCTATCCTGTGTTTTGTAGTGTTCTGGTAGGTACTGGTTGTAATGGTCTGGGTGTGGTACACTCTAGTCTGTGTTGGTCGGGGTTGTGGTAGCTGCTGGCTGGTAAAGGCTCTGGGTTAGTTAGCTGTGTTTGTAGTTCTGGCGTTATGGAGCTTATTAGTGATAGCCGTTGGTTGGTACTACAGTAACGCAATCTATTATCGCAAGGAACCCTTGGACCAAGACTAACACGTTTCGGAATCGGAATTCTTTCGATTTGATGGTCGACTGACAAATATAAGCATACCGATTAATTCCCGCAACCTAGCCAAGTACAAAAACAGTTTGAGTATATGTGTGAAGTATGACAAACACATTGATATTCTGCACTGATCCTTGTGTGGGTCCAAACTCGAGCTTGTGTGCAACAACCGTCCACGAAAAAAACTTTCCCGATTTTCTCGAGCTTTTCGGTTTCAAGATTTCCGGAATAATAGATTCGTACTGTATATTGGCTGTGAATTCTTACTACACTGATAAACTGGATGAAGTCTGCTTCACATATAGAATAGCAGCTGATGCTATTTATCTATGGATGATAAACTCGTATAATGACAGCATTTAATATTCTTTCTTATATTTTATTTCGCTGAAGCACCTGCAGGAAAAAGAAAGAGAAAGGATGCAGGAAAGACGGAAGGAGTTGGAAGTTGAGAAGGCCAATATTGTTGTGATAGTAAGTGTGAATAATTGGCCATTACTTACCACGTACTTAATGACGAAACATGTTTATAATGTACAGCGCTTTTGTGTCTGAATGTCTTATCATCGCCTGACTTTCGTTGTTTGAATAGCTCAGTTAATTAACTAACATTTTTCATGCCTCATGCCTAATTGTCTCATGCATCTTATGTATAACAAAACTTCTCGTATTTACTGCACTGAGTGCTACTACTAAGTCCCCTGTTAGATCACTTCTAAAAACCGTAAGCGTATCTCCAGCCTTGAGCAAACACTTTGTTGTTACTGATTCTATGTATCTTCTCCTGTTAAAAACATTCCATACTGTTCCTATGTAATGCCACTTACAGCTCATCATTGAAACTTCTCTCTTCTCTTCTCTCTCTACCTCTCTCCTATCTCTCTCTCACTCTATCTCTTTCGCACTCTTCATCTTCTCTCTCTCTCTCTTCTCCTCTCTCTCTCTCTCTCTCGTCTCTCTCTCTCTCTCTCTCTCTCCTCTCTCTCTCTCCCCTCTCTCTCTCTCTCTCTCTTCTCTCTCCTCTTCTCTCTCTCTATCTCTCTCTCTCTCTCTCTCCTCTCTCTCTCTCTCTCTCACTCCTCTCTCTCTCTCTCATCTCACTCTCCTCTCTCTCTCTCTCTCTCTCTCTTCTCTCTCTCTCTTCCTCTCTCTCATCTCTCCCTCTCTTCTCCCTCTCTGCTCTCTCTCTGCTCTCTCTCTCTCTCGCCTCTCCTCATTTCTCTCCCTCTCTAGCCTCTATCTCATCTCCTTCATCCCTCCCCCTATCTTCTCTCTCTCTATTTCTCATTGTCTCACGCCTAGCAACCGCTTTCCATGCGTACCCTCTGTTGTGGCAGGTCTTCTATACTGAAGTGCCCCTTGCTTAGTTTTCCTTCCCTTCACGTCCGTCTTCCCTGCCGAACTACTCTCGCCAGCTAGTTGGTCTTCTCCTTGCACAGTATTTTCTTTTCTCTCTGCACTGCCTGACCTTCTGCTCTTTCACGCGGTTGTTTGTGTGCTGCCCGTCCCCAGAGGGTGTCATTCTCTGGGTTTTGGCAGCCCATGCGGGCTCGTACAAGACCGGCCTGGGCGCTGTCCGGGAGCCTCGTCCAAAGCAGATGGGAAAAAGATAAAAAAAAAAAAAAAAAAATAAAAAAAAAAAAAAAAAAAAAAAAAAACAAAAAAAAAGAAAAAAAAAAAAAAAAAAAAAAATCATCACGGCACTTTCTCTAGGTCCTCACTATCGTGGCCGAGGAATCGGACGAGAGCAACCCGGTTGGCCTCGCCCAAAGTCATGTGCCCACCGCCCCCCGTGCCAGGTGGTGCGTGCGCCCGCCGTAACGTTGCCGAGGCGAGTCTGATCGCGCTCGAAAAGAAGTGAGCGGTGTTGAGTGAGCTGCATAGTGTCGAGAACGCGCGCTATTACAGTGTCCGTGGTGTGTGTGAGCGTCTTACTCGTTGCTGACTTCGACACTCCGCGTGGTTAGGCGCCGCGTATTGCGTCGAACGTTTGCGTCGAGCGTGCGAAAGGGGCATGGCGTTGCACCCCCCCTGCGCACAGGTTTCGTCCGGCTACTGTGATTCATAAGAGAGTGCGCGTGTGGTGCTGTGGGTCTGTGTCATTTTGCAATGTTACGTTTGGATCGTTTTGCCTCAGATACTTTGCAAAATTTCTGCTACAAGCATATCCACATTCTCCTAAACATTCGACTACTGCTTCGTATTTGCTTAATCGAAGGCATGTGGTTAATCTTTTCTCCAAAATTCCGCATTGTCGATCATTTTAGCAAAACCTCGCTAGCTATATAATAGGCAGAGTCTCCCGCAGGATGTGAAGGCTATAAATGATGGACGGAGAGAAACTCCAGAGGTGTTTGTACCAAGTTTGAGTTTATAACGCATGTCATGAGTGCCTCATCACAGGTAAACCTCGATCAGTTGGGAATCTATATAGCACACTGATAAAGCACATCACTGATCGTGTTAGGATTCAAAAGCAAAGCACAGTCTTAAATTAGGCATGTAAGATAACTGCAATTAAGGCAGTCAGAGATTCATGGATGTCGAAAATCGTCAGACAGCACGTGCATTAAAGGGCTGGGGAGAAGCCTGTATGTGGTGCATGGCGTTAACTTTGTGGGCTATTAAATGTAGATTAGTAAATGCAGCTTTCATCAATATTCCTACTTTTCTATTTTTGTCTTCACTTTTTTGTCTTGCTCGCTAATTTTCTCTGAAATTCCTACTTTGTTCCTACTTTTCTTAGTTTTTTCCCTAAATTTTTTGTCCGCCAAAATACTGTAAAGAGGAATGCTCAGGTCATTTAATATCTTGATGACGATGTTTACACTGTTCATAGTGTAAACAGCAGAGAAGGCTGCGTGGCAGGGGTAGTGAAATAGCAATGCAGATAGGCGAGCACAAAGTGTCTGTTGAAAAGAACATGATCATATGGACTTATGGTTCTGTGAATATCCTGTAAGTATATAAAACTACTGCTGAAGCCTTGCATATAGTCACTATTTTAATCCTAATTTCCAGCAAAATTCTATTTTGCCCTTTTTTTTTTCAAATTTTGATCTTACTAATTTTCC